AAAAAAAAAAAGCAAACAGATCGAAAAAAAGCGAACAAAAAACCTCGATGTTGTGATCAATGTGATTTCGGCGGTCCTGTAACACGTTTTTCGAGTTTGGCTAGGGTGGTGATTCCTTTTTATAGGGGAAGAAGACGCGAGGGTGCTGACATTGGCTGAGCAAATTATAGCTGCGCTACCGGAAAGGATCAAGAGAGCGGAAGGTGATTCTCCGTCTTCTTCCTCACCACCTCCCCCGGCACCGCCCTTGTCATCTCTGGAAGATGCTCTGATGGAACAAATGGTAAGCCCTCGAGTCACTGCTGGTTTTACGCAATTGCAGTAAGTCATAGAAATTCGTGTTCTTCCAATTATTGATTTTCATTTGATATGCATTACCTCACGACGACGTGGATTTCGAAATAATTAATTGGCATATTCTCATTGATAGGACAGGAATTTCGAAACGTGGTGGACGATGGTACGAATACTTCCGTGACTCACTGTACATCAGAAATCGTACTCAACCGTATTTCTGACCTTATTGTTAAACTAAAGTTCTTCTTGCAATTCAGAACGAAACTGACAATGCCACTTGGCGATCGTAATTCTTATAGCCGCTCGATTCTGGCGAATTGTTCGACTCGTATCGAGAGTGCAGCGGAGGTGCGGCGTCAGTCTCGGACGCTGACGCGGATGCTAGTCCATCGAGTCCGTCGAGCAGTTGCCTCACGCCGGACTCGCCATCTCCACCGCCCACCACCGCCGACTTCTGCGAGTTTTTGCAGCTGCAGTTGCAGCTCGACGGAAATAACGGTCAGAACGGCCAGTACTATTCGAGCGGAGGAGACCGGAAGTTCGGCAGCGTGATCGGCTCTGGGATTTGCGGGACCGTGTCAGGTGGTGGAGGTAACGGAAACGGTGACGGGAGCGAAGCGGATCTGAGCAGGCTCACGTTGTCCGATCGCGAGCAAAGAGAGCTTTATCACGCCGCTCGAATGATCCAGAAAGCCTACCGAAATTACAAGGGACGCCAGAGGCAAGAGGAAGCGGAGAGACACGCTGCCGTACTCATCCAACAATATTATCGTCGACATAAACAGTACGCTTATTTTAGGTAATCTGTTTTTAGCTTAACACGCCGCGGCCCGTGTCATTTACCTCTCGTTTCATCCTCTCGATCCCTACGAACTCAAAGCGTCCGAACTCTGAACTATCCTCGTTCCGTGATAATAAAGGGGAGTGTCATGGAATTAAATCGAATATATATACATATATACACACACACACGAAAGCTCGTCGGCTCGTTCGAATGGCTGGCATTTGAGCGCCGGGTTGAACGGCGGTTAGTTTTAATAAGCGGCAATTAATAAAAGGGGAGGACAAGGCGTACCATTGTGCAGCTAATTTAACGATCCAGTTGAACCGGACGAATTTCAGCAAAGTTCGTTCTATCCATTCCTCTCGGGAGCGATACGGCCCCCCGAACTTTTAATTGGCATTGTAAATAATTCGAAAACTTGAGCAAGTTCCTTACCTCTGCCGCGGTGTTCCGAATACAAGATTAACCTGGCATTAAATTAATACGACTTTTGTGTTGAGATGAAAGCTTTTACCCCTGCCCACGCTTCTTTCGCTCTTCTGTCCATAATGTATATATAACGTATATATGGCGCATTCTCCTAAAAGCGTGTCGTCTCCTCTGCAAATTCTTATTTCACGGTGGCCTGTTCTCTCTCTCCCGTTCGCAGACAAGCTACGAAGGCTGCGCTGGTGATACAGAGTAACTACAGGAATTATCGGTCACGTCCAGGCTCGGCCAGCTCGAGGCAGCAAGCGGTGCATCAGCAGGCGGCGCATCAGGCCGCGAGGAAGATCCAGCAGTTCATGCGACAGTCGAAAATCAAGTTAGTATCCGTCCGGTGCACATAATTGCATTTCCTGTTGCAACGATGTGCACGCATTATTAGTTATGTAGACTTCTTGTTAGCACACGAAAGGCTTATCGTACGAAAGACATCTAAAAGTTCTAAAGTCTCCCTCTTCTGTGTGTACTAATGCAGCTTGTCGTGGGACGATTCACGACCGGTAAGTAACGAAAAACAAGTAGGGCGATTGTCGCGCGGCAATACACTGCTCGTTTATCGCTCCTGTATCTCTTTTCAAAGGGTACTCGCTCTTTCGCTTTCACCAGGACGATCAGTGCACCCTGTTTTCACGACCCTGTTTTCCCCACCCTCCGGCAGTATATAACGATCTATCGTTTTCCGAAATACATATCTCTTGGTTAGCTTCTGTGTTCTACTATTATTACGGAATGTAACCGGTGCTTTGTGTTTTCTGTTTTATATGTCTTAATCGTGTTTCTCTTTTTTTTCAAACGGAACGCAACCAGAGTCCATGCAACGGTCATCATAAATGGAGCTTCTCATAGAGACGAGAAGATGTTCTCTTCAATTATCACTTTGCTCTCCTGTAGAATAATTAACGAGAGAAGGGGAAAAACAAAACAAGAAAAAAAAAGAAAGGAGAGAGAGAGAGAGAGAGAGAGAGAATTGAAGTACTTTATATATAAAACCGAAACAATCTCCCCGTTGTGTTCGATGTGAGAACGTTTCGTCGAATCGTACGTACAAAGTACTTCAATGATCGCTTGGCAAAGTGTTAATTGCGGTTCCACCGAGAGTTAGATGCGCTCGTTTGTTTCGTAGTTCACGTGTTCCTCAGAGTGCTTGATCATTCAGTGTCATGTATGCACATTCGCAGTAGGTTGGCTCGGTAAATTCGATCTACATGAAATGAATGCATTTCTCGAACCAGGCTGCAGAACGCCAGGGCCGCCGCAAACGGGAACGGGAGGCCGCCAGCGGGCATTTTACGGGCGGTTGCTGTCCCCCAAAGCTCGCCCTCATCTAGCCCAGGGGCCAGCCTAGTAGCCGCCAACCCAGAGGTCACTTAATCGACTGTCGATCGAACGGCACACAGAACGGTGATGACACATCGGAAGCGAAATAATAGAGCCTAGCCATCCAAATAAACGGTCGTCACGGGGTTTTACGCCACGACGGAACGAGTGAATGAGTGAGGTTCGTTCGTCGAGGTCCGCCAAGATTCCAACGAAGCAGCAGCAAACAGTTGTCTGAGGAGAAGCCTCCGAGAGAGAGACGATCGGCCACGACACGGACACGCTTTGCTCTCTACAAATCCCTGATTTCGAATATATATATCACGTACCTGCCTTCTTTATTCATCTAAAGATCAATATCCATCTTTCGCATCTTTGACCCACAGTTCAGCCGAAGGATCGTGCCGTCATCCTGTATCTACTTTCACATTCACTTTCGCTTCAGTTTCGATTACCACGCTGCCGGTTTTACCGTTCGTTTGCTGCATTTCTGTTCCTTCGGTCGACGAGTGATGCTAAGTGGTATCCAGAGGTAGGTGGTCTGTCATGGTCTCTCTGGCACGCGCACGCGAGACGTCGCATGCGTGTAACGCGTATATTATATTCAAGCATATAACGATGCATCAATTATTTAAGATCGTATCAAGGATCGAATCGGTCGGAGCATGTTCGTAGAGTTGCTACCGTTGCCCTCCGCTTGAGGCATCGCAATTTGTCGAATACTTTTTACGACTGAGAGTACAAGAGAG